AATAGCTTTTATATCTCATAGTTATATACCCAATGAATTATTTGTACTATTTCTCAATAATAAAACTTAAAGGAATAGAAGATTCAATTTTAACATTATTATTAAAATAACTCCATGGCAAGATCCTTCCTTATGTTAGGGACAAAATTTTTTTTTTTTTAGATTTTATTTACTTATTTGACAGAGAGAGACACAGCGAGAGAAGGAACACAAGCAAGGGGAGTGGGAGAGGAAGAAGCAGGCTTCCCGCGGAGCAGGGAGGCCGATGCGGGACTCGATCCCAGGACCTTGGGATCATGACCCGAGCCGAAGGCAGACGCTTAACAACTGAGCCACCCAGGTGCCCCAGGGACAAAATATTTTAAAATAAGTCTCTATAACAATTTGATTTCCCCAAAAGGTTCAATTAAGAAAAAAAATCAAAATAAAATAAAAAATGAAATACTCCATTATAATCACTGAAAGAATCGTAATAGTATATTCATAATTGTTTTTGTGATCAACTTTTTAAAAAATCAATTTTAAACAGTGTAAATACCTCATCAGAATAGGAAACAGATCTGCTCGGTGGGCTGTTTTCACTACTGTATTATCTTCAGAAATGCTAAAATGCACTATCTCTTCCTTAAAGCTTCTGTCTTCAAGCAATCTTTGTAAGTTTTCCCTTTAAAAATGGAATATAGCACAAATCATCACTTAAAAATCAATGGTACTTTAAAGAAGTGCAATATAGTACAGTAATTTGTATGACTGAACTAGGAACTAAGAATATCTACGTTGTGGTTGACATCGATAAAGGAAAATTTTCACAAAATGACAGGTTTTCAAATTTTAAAAGGTAAAAGTGATTATGAGGAATTAAGACTTAGTCAACAATTCAGCTGTTTAAAAGAGATTAATATAAAAGCTTTCTTTAGTTCTTATAGAGAGTGATCATTATGATTCCCTAAGTAACCACCAAGATTTTGACATTACTGAAGCAACAAGAAATGATATAACCTTCTCAACATATACTTATCAATTAGTTGTCTCTTTCCTACCTTATTATCTATGGAGAAGCATTCTTAATACACAAATATACTTCCAATTTTCATTTCTTACCTGAAAATAGCATTATGATTATAGAAGAAAAGGGAAATTTCCAGGCCTTCATAAATTTATTTTAGAAGAGGCTCTCATGTAGAAAGTTAAAAACCAGCCAAAGAAAGCGCATTTCTTTAGCTTCAAATAACTTACCTGTAAGGGAGGATATGTGGATGTCTATATGTCATTATACAATCCAGGGTTATTTTTTGCACCATTTGATCTTGATGTAGCAACAACTAAGAATAATATTTTATAAAATAAGTTAATGAAGTTACATATACACACACCATGGGATAGTAATTTACTTGTGTTAATTTGCTACATTAGATTTCTTACAATCTAAATTTTTAGATGTGGGTTAAACCTGGTTGCTGACAACAGCCTTATATCTTCCTGGAGGTATAGCACAAATAGAATACGTGCAATGAACAAAGTGGAAACAAAACTCTGACCCCTGAATCCCACATGCCAGACCCTCGGGTCTGTCAGTCTTTTGGTCAAGGCCAAATCCCTTCATAAATTTGGGTTTATACCAGCGGGGCTGGTCCCATGATGAGCGAAAGCTCCCAACACTGTGAAAGTAATGGCAATCATAAGATTCCAGGAAAGAAGACCTGGCACAGAGCCTCTCAGATCAGTTAGTTAAGAATTTTGCTTCCTGCAGTTTTGAGCTCTTGCTTTATAAACAAACTGTATCTGAATTACGGGGCAGAATGAGGATAAATTCTGCTGAAATCATAGAAGTTCCACCTAAAAAACATCCAAATGAAAAAAGGAAATTTTGTATCCCCAGATGGCTTAGAATGACGTCCAGTGCTTACTCTGCTTCTGACATCAAATTTTTTCTGCAATCTTTTCTGTAACTGAAGAGCATATATTGTGACTGAGAGATTCTTATTCCAACTATCCAGCTTTCACTCAGTGTAATAGATCCTGAAATCCCAGCACTCTGTAAGGCTAACTTACCTAGAAGTAAAAAGTAGTTACCTTTTTTTTTGGCACAACCCCCACTATTAATACAGCTGATCAATGTTTAGTCACTCAAAATGTCTTTAAAATTAACAATATTAGTACAGTTTAAATCTATTTCTCAGGACACAGAAAGTAATTATTAAATTTTTAAGACACTGTACTTAAAATGTAGACATGGGCCCTATTCATCAACAATTATTAAAAACCTAAAAGTTATTTTGGTGAACAACAGAGAAAACTCACAAAGAACTGCAGTGGCAAGAATTTATTTTACTTACCTGAAGATACAGCTCATATAATTTAGATTCCAGATATAAGGCTCGTGGATTTGAAAACTTAGAGAAAACTTGCAAATGAGCAATTAACTGCCTAAAAAAACCAAAAAACAAAAACCATAGGGTATTACAGAATTAAAGAACAGAGATTTTCTTTTTTTCTTTTTAGAGACAGCGAGCACATGCATGTGGGTGGGTGGGGGGCACAGGGAGAGGGAGAGAGAGAATCCCAAGCAGGCATGACACCCAGTGTGGAGCCCAATGCAGGGTTCGATCTCACAAGCCTGAGATCATGACCTGAGCTGAAATGAAGAGTTGGACACTCAAGCAACTGAGCCACCCAGGCACCCCCAGAGGTCTTTTCTTTTTTTTGAAGATTTTATTTATTTATTTGAGAGAGAGAGAGAGCATGAGAGAAAGAGCATGAGCGGGGGAGGAGAGGCAGAGGGGGAGGGAGAAACAGACTCTGCTGAGCAGGGAACTCAATGCAGGGCTCGATCCCAGGACCCTGAGATCATGACCTGAACTGAAGGCAGACACTTAACCGACTTAGCCACCCAGGCATTCCATCCCCAGAGATTTTCTTACGATCACAGTACCCACCAATTTTAGTCTTTCTGACAAGTATGCCAAATACCTTGACTATAGCTTCATTGTTAATTACACAAACAAGTTTTAGTTATTTGCATTTCAGAAATTATTCTCCAGAAATTCTGTATCTCAGGCAGGCCTTCCCCTAAAGTCCAGCTTCCCCACCCCAGAAAATCATTCAGGATGTGCACAGAATGGTTTAAATTAAACCAGACACAGAAAGAAAGTAATCAGAACAGTGATATATTTGCAAAGCTGAACACAGATAATTTTTGGAATGATTCCTTGTCTGGTTTCTATGCAGTAGACAGAAAGGTGGTAAAATACATTCTTCCTCACTTTTTTTTTTTTT